ATACATGAGAAAAGTTTATCATGGTCTCAAAGAGTCTGAAGGAATAAAAAAAAAAAAATACGGTCAGTGATGACAGGCACCGTCACTTTGGACAACAGATTACACTCACTCTCAGGAGATGGCTTAAGACAAAAAGGACAGCAAAGTTAGAAATAGCCTGCAGGCATCTGCTGAGTTTGACAGCCCTGAAATCTTCAGGAAAGCACCTAGTAGCCTAATACCAGTGCAGCTGATCCCTCTCAGGCATTTACCTATAGAGTTAAATGATCAGAACTCTTTCGGTACTAAAGGCAAATTATCAAAGACACCAAATGGTGCACAATTTTTTTTTTTTTTTGGTTTTTTGTTTGTTTGTTTTTTAACTGGTACACTGTTCAAATTCATTGCAATTTTCAGTAGTTTTATTGTATAGTCTTGGTATGGTCACTTAAAAGCAGTACACACTTTCTGCTACCAGGTTTTCTTTTCAAGCACTGGCACTTTCCTAGCTATTTGTTAAGGTATAGGTGTTACTGTAGAATCTATTTTTGTCTTGTGTGAGCTCAAATCAGTGTTATTGACACTAAAAAAGAGACTGGTTCTGACTATCCAGCTAAGCAATCTCACATATCTCTAATCCTCTGACACGCAAATGTTCTTCCAGGTCTCTCAAATATGAATAAAATATGTGAAAATTGTATTTTAAGAAATAGGTATATGGAAGAAGGGGTATGAACTATGTGTATAGTATGATCCTGGCATACCATATGAGCTGACTCCAATGTTTACATAGAGGATTGCAAAAGAGATTTCAGAGAGGTACAATGGCATGAGAGGCCAGACAGTTCTCAGGAGTGAGCACAATTCAGGTCTAAATATAGATTTTTTGAACCTAGAGCCCATGCTCCTTTTATTATGCTACACTGCCCTGGCCTATGTGTTGTTTCACATTCCCTCTTCCTCTAAAATAAAACAGTTTGTGGCCAAGCATTTTGGCACACACCTGTAATCCCAGCACTTTGGGAGGCCAAGGAGGGCAGATCACGAGGTCAGGAGATCGATGCCATCCTCGCTAACACGGTGAAACCCTGTCTCTACTAAAAATACAAAAAGTTAGCCAGGCATGGTGGCATGAACCTGTAATCCAAGCTACTTGGGAAGCCGAGGCAGGAGAATCTCTTGAACCTGGGAGGTGGAGGTTGCAGTGAGCTGAGATTGCGCCAGTGCACTCCAGCCTGGGAGATAGAGTGAGACTCTGTCTCAAAAATAAATAAATAAATAAATAAATAACAAAACAGTTTGGGTCCATACTGTGGCACATTAAAATTTAAACAAACATTGTAAAAATGAATTCATTCAGAAGCTCATGGAACATGTGTGATACTACTAAAGATCCAAGATTAAATATACGCAGCTTGGTTCGGGATGATTTTCATAGAGAAAACCTGTATTATTTTTTAGCTCCAATTCTGAGTTGACATCTATATTAAGTAAAAAGCCAAATACAAAGTGTGTGCATGTACACGTCTATTACCTATTCATCTATGTTTAATGATTATCTGATTGTTTCTAAACACTTGGAATTATACAGCTTTAGCTATATCTCTCAAGATAGGTCTCTGTTCTCTATTTTGAAAGAAGGCAAGATACCACATCTTCCGGGATATTGAAAAATGCAGTTATATCTGTATAGTTATACCAATTGTGAATAAATGTATTTTAAATATTGATATGACTGAATAGTTTATCAGCATCTTAAAAACATTGAATATTAGAAATAAAGAGATATTTTTGTCTTTCCATTTTTGCATACCCTTTTATTAGACAGAATAATACTCTGATTAAGACAGTTATATTCAAGGATGTCCTTGAATGAGGGTAAGTTTGAAAAATGATTACATGCCTATTTTAAGTACCTTTGAAACTGCATTTTATGAGTGCCTCTTAAAACCAAAGACTGGAGTGTAAATTGCCATTGTGTTAGGTTGTCTCTGAAGTAAACCTAATTATCCACATGTTTGGCCTGCATGTTACCTTGACCCATAGCCAGAAACTAACTCAGGGAAACTTCAGAGATAATAGGGCCCCAGAGGGCAGATACGGGCCAAGGTTAGAGTACAGTATTTGTCCCATCCCGAATTCACCTAGGAAGGTTTGCTGTATAATGCTTATGTTCCAATTTTGTTACAGGAATCTAGATTCTGGTTTCCTTTCTTATCCTAACACTAAGCCCACTGTTGAAATAGTGAATAATTCATTCTAGCACTCAGAAAATAATCAAAATGCATTTTTTTCTTATCAATATATTTTGTTATTTTATGGTGTACACTCCAGAATCTGAAATGCCGCATTTAATGTTTTCTTAGTAAACCTCTCTGATTTTAAGACAAAAATACTGAACAACCAACCAACCAACAACCCCCTAGAAATAAATTTCCATTGGCAACATTTCAACAGTATTAATCATATTAATAGCCATAAAAAACTACTATTATTAGGTTATGACTAACCTAGCTACTGAAATACAAGTCAAAAACATTCAGAATGAAGAAGGATGTCAGGCAATTAATCTTGATATCCTAGTAACACCTTCAAAGAGTATATTTCTTAAATATTAAATGCAGAGTAGGATGTACCTAGGAGGGGCCTTGGAATATAGAACAGTAAAGGTAGAGAATGAGGGAGGACTTTAAGGATATAAAGCACTATCTCTGCATTTGTTGAATTTATATTTTGATTTTAAAAACATATAAGTACAAATAAATTAAATACATCTACATGTATTCATTGTGATACCTAAAAGTAAGAACTAGTCTAAATCTCAAAGTTATTTGAGGGTTAAGCAAGCTGAGGCATTATTCCCTATGAAACACTTAGCCCTGTGCTTTCAGTCTGCTTTTCCAGTCTCTGTATGTGTCAAGCTGAATGTTGGGACATCACATGTGAAAATATAAGATCATCAGCCAGAGGACAGGTGGATTAGATGCCCTCCCACATGATAATATTTTCTGATTTGAAATATAGACAATAAAATATTGTTTTCTTACTGCAGTGAATCTGACATAGCACCTGTATATGCATGTTTAGGTTTTGTAATAGAAACATAAGAGGAAAGAGGCTGAGTAGGAAGCTATGAAAAATACACAAAAGCCAGCCTCTTTTTGGTAGCCTCCTACCTTGTTTAAATTTCCACGCCTACCTCTTCTCCATCCTTGTTCATTTTCTCAGCCACTTCCTTTTTCTGAACTTTGATTCTGATTTGTTCCATATACTAACTTACAGTTTGCCACCAGTTTGGAGTGTTCAGGGGGTCAACTAGATTCTATGTTTAATTCTCAGTCCCATTTCCCTGGTTTTGACTGCAATTTCTCTAGATGATAATGCTGGATACTGACCCCAACTATAGGGCCCTTTCCACAAGTAACTGCAAACACTCTCCCAATTCCAGTTCCAAGCCAACCTTCATGCTCTCCTACCTCTATACCTTAGACAGTGCATCCATCAGGCTGCTTCTTGCATTAAAATACCATTCTTTATATCTTGAAAAAAAAAGACTATCTCTTGAGGATATCTCATTTAGCTTCTGCTATATCTGGAGAATCTAAGAGTGCCAAATTATGAATATTTATCATTTTCACCCCTTCCCATCAGAATAAAATCCCATATACAATAAAAAGGAAAAAAAATGGTTCTTACTCTTATGTAATTATAAAACACCAGAGAAGAGAAACATTTTGTCTTATTCTATAAAATAATTCAAAGAATTTTAAATAAATGATTCTTTTGACCAGACAATAACATATAAAGATATTATGGATATTTATATTTATGAGAATGTGTCTCATTCAATATTCAAAATAAATCTGCACATTATTATTCTGATAATCTAAAACTAAAAGCTTCATTTATGATACTATGTGCCATTTAAAGGAACTTTTCAGAATACCTGCAAAGTAATTTAGCTTATCAATTAAGAATTGCTTAGCAAAGTTGTTTTTTTTCTTTTTTTATTAACAGTTTAAATTGCTGGATCAGCCCTTCAATACAAAGTAAGTTCAATAATAAACAACTTCCCCCCAAATTAAACAGGATTACAGTATTGAAACTGAGAAAAACAAAACCATAAAAGATATCGAATTGTAATATCCTATATAATTCTCTTTTTGAGTTGTTAGTAATATTTCTATCTTAGAAGTTTAGCTAGATAATCTATTATACTGTATTGGCAAATAAAATATAAACGATACTGAAACACTTGTCAAGCCTGTAAAAGTTTTGCTTTTCCTGAGTTGTATTATGAAATTAATGGAGTATACATGAATAAGTATACATATATATACACACACACACGCATATTTATACACATGTATACAATGCATATATGCATACATATCTTCATCTTATGCTTTATATAAGTGGTTACAAATAGCACCTAGATATTGCTCTGTACCCTCAGTCAACGTTTGTTTCATGGTATATTATAGCAAAAATACAAATGATATTTGAATGAGCACATCTGGGTTTAAATCCGGTAGGCCATTTTCTGCCTCTATGTAAGCACGAACTGATATGCTTTTAATATTCATCTGTAAAATGAGGATAACAGCTCCAATCTAGCAAACAGATTACACCCAAACTGGGTCTTGTGGATGTATGTAGTCATCACAGGTTGTAAATTATAATTTATAGTTCACTAGCTACAATGTAAAAATCTATGGAAGATAAAATATTCTTCTGTGTGTTCACACTATATTTATCCCTATTTCAAGATTACTTTTCAGATGCTGTTATATCAAGCAAATTCTAGCATTCAGATTCTTAATATGACACTAGAAAAGAGCAGGAAGTTACCATACAATATCACTAATTACCATTTACAAAAAACTATAGCATAATTCTAATATTTAAAAATCATTATCAGAGCTATCATAAAACTTTAGACATTTCAATAATGTATTATTTATTCATTGCCATGATATATTATTAATCGTAAAAAAAAGTGAATAAGTACTTTTGCTTACCTTAAATTCAGCATAAGAATAACACACTCGAATTCACTGAGCATACAAATTAGTAGAGTTCTTTTTGAGGACAATTTGCCTATATAAAAATGTAAATATTTATTAATGACCTCCCTAATTTCAAGTTAACCTATTGATATATTTATAGACAAGGCACCCTGCAAGAAATGATAAGGTATAATTTACCATCAGTAGAGGACTCGTTTTAAAAAGTCTGGGATATTTGTGAGTTGAGTGTTAAATGAAGTAAGCAGGAAGCCATTAACCTGATGCTGTGCCCCCCATTGAGTTCCCACGTAATGAACTGAAACCTTACTTTATATATACATAAACAAACTAAATTTTGATTTAGTATTATAACAGTTTAAACCAATCACAGATAGCCAACTCATCATGGCTGTTAAGGTGGCCATGGAAAATAGGACATATGCCAGTTGTAGTCAATCAGATAATTTCTCTATATACCTTCAACTCTGCTTAGTTTATCTAAAGTTATTCCTCTAACATGAGAAAAGCAAAATGCATAATAGCATCGATGAATATAACGCTTTTTGGTAAACAAAATAAAATCATGACACATGTGTGTGCCTATAAGTTCATACTTTTCTTTGAGTATGTATTTTGAAATAAAACAGGAAAATGTTAATAGTGGTTACCTATGGAGAGAGGGACTGGAGAGGCGAGCAAGAAAAGTTAACTCTGCTTTTTGTCTGTACATGTAGTTTGAATTCTTAAAATTGTAAGTTTTATATTTTAATGGTGAATAAAATATATGGACATTATGATCATTTATTTCCTTCATGCATTCTGTTTAAAACATTTTATAAATAATTCAACTCTGTTAAATTCACCAACCCTTGTTTATCCTGTGTTTTGGTATAAAATGTCATTTCATGGGAGCAGAAATCAGTCCATTTACCTTTGGGTGCTTAGTTTAAATAGGTGGGGAGAAAACCTTCTTGAATATTTTCAGTCTATAAAACTAATTATACAGTATTTTCAAAACACATTTTGGATGAAAATAAAAGTACCTTAAGCTTTTATTGGATATGGCCTGAATTATGTAAGATTCATAAATTTAGGTATGCCAATGGGAGACTAAATTGACAGGCTTGTCTGATTCCGGAAAAAAAAAAAAAGTGTTCTAAATCATATTTTGGAAACCACGGATGATAATGCTGTTGAGTCTGGTTCTGTGAACACTTCGTCTTGTAAAAGTCCTGAGCAGTAATTGGTAATTAGTATTAGAGGCTTTATCATTCTTGCTGAGCAAATTACCAGAAAGAATGCTATATTTTCTGAATGAAATCACAAATTAATCATGCCACTGAGCTTAACTGTACCACTAGTGAAGACATACAAATACCGGGGCAAGCTTCTTTTTAAAAGACCATTGAAGAACAAAATCCAGAATTACATGAGTTAAGCATACAATGTGAAAGTACGAAGTCCTAAAAAGACATATCACAAATGTCTGCTTCAAAAGGAAAGGTAGGGATGGTATTTACAATTGAGTAGCCTAAAAAACTCAAACATCAAAATGATTACAGAAAACTCAAGTCATTTACTTAGGGTAATTCAAAATTTTTAAATAAATTAGGAATTAATAACTACCACGTGTTTGTTGCCACACAGAATAATCAACTAAAATTCAATAATCTTTGTTGAAGTAACTTGTACTCATTTTGCATTAATATGTAATTAAACATAAACATTAAAGTTACATGATGTTATATGATTTTTTGTGTACTTACTTAATATGTCCATGTGTGATATGTGTAAAACAGTTTTTCTTGATGCAAACATGCATAGATCATGTACTTACTTAATATGTCCACGTGTGATATGTGTAAAACAGTTTTTCTTGATGCAAACATGCATCGCTTTTCACTAGGTGACAGTTTTCAGAGAAAAGGCATAGAGTTTTAGAATTAAAATCTACTCAGTGTTCCTTGCAATCTGCTGTGGGTGTCCAAGAAGGCCCAGACCGTTTTTATGTTTTTAGGAGACAAAGAACAATTGCTTAGCAAGTTCCAATATGTTTCCAAAACTAAAGCTAGGGTAAGGTGGATGACCTGGTACCAAGACACCCCTGAGGGCCTGATGGCTTCCTTTTATACACTGATGGTTTTCATTATGATTCTTATAGAAAGAAGACAGACATTTTTAAGCTAGACTGCACATGGTAGGTTAAACCAATAATCCTCTTTTGTATTTCCCACAAATCATTTTCAAAGTAAAAACTGTATTTGGAGCCTATATACTAAATGTCACTGTAGGTGTCATTATATTAATAAGTCAGCTGAATAACTAGTCTCTTGGATTAGTATTTATAAAATAGCAATCTGTCTTATAGGTTTTTTAAGATATTTAGCAAGCACAGGCTTATTAGATTTCTAGTGATCGAATCATGTGCACAACATAAGGAATTGTTGCATATGCATATATAGAGGATTATATCACTATAGAAACATTAGATAATACATATTTGGTTCATTATAAATCTTTCAGGATTCTGTATTACCTAATAAAGAATGGAATTTTCCACATTTGTTTTCAGTACTAGCTTATTCCAAAGGGATCCTTTATGAGGCAAACTTTTAAACGTATAAAATAAGCTTTTAAAAGGTCTAATTAGAAACTCTAAATATATTGACATTTATTTGTGAATATCTTCTCTCTTTTAAATGCAACATACCAAGAACTCAATAAAGCCATAGAGGATCTTTTTCATTAGCAGGTTCTGCTGATGACTTGAATATAATAAAGAACATGCAATAATGATACAGTGAAAGAGTTATCCCAGATTTGTTTCTACTGTACATTTTGTTTTGAAAAGGCAATTAACTTCTTATCTATAAAATATCCTTGGAGAATCTTATGATTCCTCTTAATCATACCATTTAAATTTGTCTGTTTTCAAGAAAAATACAAATTTAGGGCATGACATTGCAAACAGCCTAAGCAACCTTCTTCTCCATTTAATCTCTTCTCATCAGTGGAAAATAAATAAGAAACCCCAGTGTCTATTAGATGTCAGGATTATAGCTCTAAAATATAAACGTGATATTATTAGGTAAAGCATGATGAATAGCAGAACTAAAATCTCTAAAGGGTGAAACCAGTAAGAATCATCAAAAAGTAACCATAAATAACAGATCGAGAAAACATAAAGCAGAGTTCCTTTGCAGATAAAATTATTCATTCATTAATCAAAGTTTATCAAATGCTGTTAAATGGCAGACAATGTGCTATTTTTTATAGATAGTATGTACAGACTAGTGAGACAAAAACACTAAAATGGTAAATGACTAAAAATAGTTTTAGGAGTTTACTCAAAAAGTTTATAACTATGAGAACATGCAATACAGTACAGCAGGCAATTTGGACTATAACACTGAACGCAGAAACTTGTTTGAGAACAACTACAAAGTGATTCTGCTTTCTCCTGCAGAATGAGGATGCACAATTGCTGGTGCTAGGTTTCATTTAAGAACCAGATAAAGGGAAGTACATAGATTATTATTTTAATTTCTTATGGAATGATGATACAAGCAAAAGTACAAGAGAACAATGTTCAGGCAAGAATTGATTATCATTCTTAATTCTGAAGGACCTAAATAGAGACGGCAATTAGCAGCTGAGTGTCCTTGGAGGCAAAGAAAAAAAAAAAAGAAAGAAAGAAAAAAAGAAAGAAAAATCTTGCAAAATATTCACATTAAATTATCCTAATTGGTGTAGCTACTTCGTTCCCAGAAAGTTTTGAATCCTTAGCTAAATAAACTAGAAAAATGCAGTTTTCCCCCACTTGTCTGAAATCCAGTGGAGTAAATGATTGAAAAGAGATTAGGCTGTAGTGATAAGCAGAGATCAATAATGATAACCCTAAACTTTTTTATGTAATTTGGGTTTTATCTGGAGAGAAATGAAGAAGATTTGAATAGCTTTAATGAGAAAACTATCATGATATCATCTAAAATTTGTGCGAGCAAAGATGAAGTGGGAAGAAGTGATTGGAACACAAGACTAGAAATGATTAAGCAATGAAAAATTGTGGCCATGAGCCTCAAAATTGGTAGTGGTTACAGGGTAAGAGAAAAGACGAGGAATCAAAAAGATATTTGATTGGTTGACTAGAAGGACTCGATGACTGGCTAAGAGAGAAGAAAACACTTAAGGTTTAGTCTGGGCAAATGGTTAATGTTGGCGAGTTTAAGAAATCTGGAAGACCTTAGCGGGCAGAAGGCCATGGGACATATTTATTTTGGTGTGCTGAAGTGGCTATGTGAATGGTTATGTTCAAACTTCAATTAAAAATATAACTAAAAAAAGAAAATAATTAAATAATAATTGAATGATTACACTGAAGAAAATAATTGGGAGATCATAGGCATATGAATGGTAACTGCAATCATAAAAATGGATGAAGTAGTCCAGAGGGAGCATGGACCGTTGACAAGAAAAATTGTCAAGAAAAATTATGTAGGGTCCTTCAGAATTAAGAATATTATTAATATTATTTTAATATCTTATTAATGGGTATTATTGTATTTCATTATTCTATTATTATTATTGCATTATTAATATTATTATTATATTCCATAATACTCATATTATTATCATGTGTATTGGGATGGCTAAAATAAAAGTATTGGTGAGACTATGAAAGCACATTTAATGTAGTATGCACTATACTAGAATCAGTTAAAACACACAAGAAGGAAGCGGAGAAAGCCATTGTAGGAACCTCCTTCGAGAATTATTTGTTTCATTTTGGATGGGTTCTATTGATATGTCTTCAATTAATTAATATTTTCTTTGTCTACATCGAATCTGCTGTTTATCCCAGTCTGTATATTTTTCACTGGACATGTTTTGGTTTATATATCTGGGACTTCAACCTGGGCCTTTTTAAAACATATTTCATGCCTCTGCTTAACACTTTGAACACATATAGTTGTTATAAAAATTATTTTATTTATCAGAAATTCTGTTTCAGCACTGGGTATTAATTATGTAATTGCCACACTACCCTGAATGCACCCAATGTATTATCTCATTATGGGTCATATGTTCCTG